GAGAAACCTGGATTAGCCCTGACCGGGAATCGAACCCACAACCTTTTGCTTTGCCAGAAGATGCACAACCAACTGAGCCACACTGGTCAGGAAAGAAGGATTATCACTTTAGTCTTTATCTTCCACCTCATCTCCCCATCCTTCCCTCTTTCTCCTCTTTTTTTTTTTCTTGCCAGTCTTGCCCCCTCCTTTCCACTGCATCTGGCAGGCTGCATAATTTTATTGCCTCTTCATGTGACAATGATTTTACAATATCATTTTCTAGACAGAGGACTGAGAGACAATTCAGATAATTCAGTCTTCCCTTCGACATGGTTGATCAAAATTTGTTTGTATCCTTGATCATTTAGGGAGCTTATTTCAGACTCATTGCTCTATTGGAAATGACATGTACAGTTTTAGGACTGGTGTCAAATTTGGGGAAAACTCCAGGTTTCTTTAATCTGTGAACTTTTATTTTGTAGAGTATTAGAAGTTTCCAGATGGAGCTTGGTTTTTAATTTTTTTCAAGGCTTTATTCATTTATTTTTAGAGAGAGGGGAAAGGAGGGAGACAAAGGGACAGAAACATCAATGTGTGGTTGCCTCTCACTTGCCTCCTACCAGGGACCTGGCCCGCAAGCCAGGCGTGTGCCCTGACTGGGAATCGAATTGGCAACCCTTTGGTTTGCAGGCCGGCACTCAATCCACTGACCCACACCGGCCAGGGCTCGTCTGTGAACTCTTAAGAGTTCAAGGTATCTTGAGGGCTTTTTTTCTGTGGTGATTAATCTTTAAGTAACTTTAAACTGACAGTGTTTGTTAAAATGTTTGTTGATGTTGGGGTCTTGTTATACTGTCATATTATGGTTTTGTTAACTTTCTTGATGTTAGTATTTTGTGTTAAACCAATAAAAACTTTTTTCTTTCTCCAATGTGTTCATACAGTTCACACTTCTTCATTGATTGGATTATCAAACAATGCAAAAATCTTCAATAATTCCATTTGAAAGTTATCTTTCTTTTAATAAACTGCTTTTGGTATGACCCAAATATATCTTGGGGGTACAATGTCTTGTCAATGTCAGAATAATTTTATTTCATTGTTCACCATTATTACTTCTGTTGTTATATACTATTTACTTAAGATATATTCCATTAAATGCAGATAAAATATATACCTTTGCATAGGACAGCAGTATACCCATACGTGCCATCCAAGACAATGGGGAAGTCAGAATACAGACACTGGTCATAACCAATTGGCTAAAATAATCTACTTTGGCAAATTAAAAAAGAAACTAGACTATGAAAACATATTTCTAGGGCTTTCCCCAGGGTCTTAAAATGGACTCACGCAAAGGAGAGGACCTGAAGCTTCATGGTGCATCCACTTCTGGGGGTGTGCTCTGGGTACCTGTGTGCTAATGTATGAGTACACACGTATAGAGACATAAAAATATGTTTGTATGGAGAGCATGGCCCAGTGTTTCCTCAGATACAGCCCAGGTAAAAATGGCCCCAAGAGCAAGGGACATTTCATCTACACTGCAAATGGGTTGGGTCAGCTAGACACCCCCCACCACCACCAGGGAGACATAGAGGGTGGAAGACATATCAGGGGGCCACCAGAGGCCACAGAGGAGACATAACATGGCCTGAACTGGGGCAGTGACTGGTGAGGTGAAGGACATGCCAGGGAGGGCCTCAAATCCCATCTTTTATGGGGTGATCCAGTCTCCAGCTGCTTTCCTCCCTCCTGACTTTCCTCACTTCCTCTCTCCTAACTTCCTCTGTAGAAGCCACAGAGCAAGGCAGCGGAGCGTGGAGTCTGGAGCCCCTCTGCCTGGGTTCAAATCCTATGTCATGGCTTAAGCTGGCCCAGTCAAAGTTTTTCCCTGGGAATTTTCTAACTGGCATTTCATGGTGAGATTTTAGGTAATCCCTGAGTTCCTGGAGAAAACCAATGTGCAGTAGGAGAGAGTATAGCCAAGTAGAGGCAAGAAGGGGGATATACGAACGAGCAGGAGGGGCTCCAGTCCCACTGTCCAGGCCACGGAAGCTCTTCCACATGTGAGCTGCCCCATGTCCTTCCAACATGCCTCTTGTGGGGTTTAGGCTAGTGGAAACGGGGTCCACCACTTACAACTGGAAATATGCTGGACTAACTCCGTCCCCATATCTGCTGCTTCTCCTGAGGTCTCCATCTCTGCAGTGACACCACTGCCCACTCAGAAGCAGACCAGATCCTCATCCTTGGCTCCTCCTGTTTCCTCCCTTCATTAGGCCTTCCCTACATAAGGCCTTGTGAAGAATTATGCAGGTTGTTCACTGCATAAGTGCACCTGGCTGGAGAGGTGAGTGAAGGCTGAGGTCTGCTCATGGCTGACTAGCCATGAACCCTGGTGCACAGCAGAGTCCTTGGGAAAGAGGGACACCTTTATCTTTAAAAAAAAAAAAAAGATTTTATTTATTTTTAGGAAGAGAGGAAGGAAGGGAGAAAAAGAGGGAGAGAAACATGGATTGGTTGCTTCCTGTATGCATCCCGACTAGCAGACCAAACCTGCAACCCAGGCATGGGTCCTGATTGGGAATCGAACCAGTGACCTTTTGCTTTGTAGAAAGATTCCCAACCCCCTGAGCCACACTGGTCAGAGTTGGACACCTCTTTCTAATTGCACACTAGCTCCCTATAGGCTACTCAGGCGCTCTTCATTTTTGTAATTGATTCCATCAGTGCAGAAACTGCCTCCTCTCTTCACCTGGTTACCTTCTCATAATCCTGTTATCATCTCTCATTATACCCTTTCCTTTTCCCTATAGCACTTCTCGGCATTTATAACATTACATCTGTCTACCTGGTTCGTTGTTGAATGACTGTTTCCCAGGAGATTTTAAGCTGTGTGAGGGTAAGGACTGTGCCTTTAAGATTCCCCACTGTCCCCTCAACACCTGCACCTTGCCTGGCACAACTGTCTCCACTCCTATGCTTTCTCTCCTAACGCCAGTCACTGCCCCAGTTCAGGCCATGTTATGTCTTCTCTGTGGCCTTTGGTGACCCCCTGATAGATCTCCCATCCTATCCATTCTGCCAGCCCAGACTGGCCTTTTGAAAATACAGATTCACTGGAGTCCTTCTCCTGTTTAGATTCTTCTAGGACTCCTTACTGACTTCAGGATAAAGCCCAAATGAGGTGCATTGTGGCCCTGCCTCTGCTCTTCCATCTCACCACTGGTTCCTCCCTGTGAGCAGTTTTGGCTCCACAAAGGCACAGGCTGCTTTCTGCCACCTCTGGGTCTGTGCACATATTGCTTCCTCAGCTTGGAGCATCCCAATTTGACTCCTCGTTCTTGACCAACTCCAAGTTTCTCATAAGGAATGACCTGCTTGTCTATATCTCCTGTTCCTACTGTGTTCCTCTGCCACATATACCACCATTATAGCATTTAATTCATCATACAGTAACCAGTTGCTAAAAGACGCAATTTTCCCAAAGGTCTGCTTGCTTCCTAAGGGCAGGAGCTGTGTCCATGGTCTCTTTTTTTCTCCCAGCATAGGACTTGGCGTCTGTTGAATGAATGAATTCATGAATGAGCCCCAAGGGGTCTCAAAGGAGTATAAGAAACCCCATGGCACGTCTGGGGAGGCAGCCAGAAGAAAAGCTGAGGGTCATTAGTAACAAAGCAACTCTGGTGGCTCCTCAGGGAGCCTATGTTGGGGAGAGCAGGGAGCAGATCCTCAGATACATAACGAGGCCCTTCCTGCTGGCATGGCCCCTTGCCTGCATTTCTCGGTGCCCCCCACTTGGTGAGCAGAGCCCTGAGAGTGGGCTTGTAAGGTTTTCAGGGGGAACAAAACGGGTCTGTAAGGGAGAGATTAAGAAGCAAGGAGGTCTTGGTTGCAAGTGTATGTGTGCTGGGGGTGAGGTTGGGGTGGCATATGACTAGGGAAGAACTTTTGCCCTTCTAGGGGAGGGTGGGAGGTAGAAGTGCCTCTGTGTGTGTGTGTGTGTGTGTGTGTGTGTGTGTGTGTGTGTGATGATCTCTCCCCTGCAGCTATGTGTGGGTCTGTGAGCATTGTGTTGTTTTTTCTTGTTTCTCAAGACACAGCTCAAGTGGCATCTCTTCCAGGAAGCCTTTCCCAGCACCTCGGCTCAATCAATGGCCCCTCGTCTACTCTCAGAATGTTTATATCTTGATGAGAGCATCTATATCACACGTGGTGATGCAGGTTTGCACGCACCCCTCTTCTTTCAGGTTCTGGGTCTCAGGAGATCTGACAGTGCCAACATGCTCTGCATGCTGGGCTGCTGGCTGAGTAGAAGCATCTGTACTTCTCTGGCCATCAGTGATGTCCCCTTGTGGTTACGCCTATCACTAAGAGCCTATTATAAGTACCACACAGCTTACCATGTCCCTCTGCACCCATTTAGTGTTTCCTCATAATGCTGTGAGCACCCTGTCACATCCTCTGTTCCCATGAGGATTCCGAGGGGCACCTGAGGCCACGACTTCCCAGTGATCCTCCTGGCTTCACTCTCTGTATGGATAAGTGAGATTCTCAACGTTACATGCACCTGGGAAGATTTTGAAAACTACCAATACCTGGCCGTGTGTATCTGGGGCAAATAGATACATTACAGAATCCCTGGGGGGGTGGGACCAGGCCTGGATCTCCTTATAAACTACTCCGATCATTCTAATATGCACCTGACATGAAAAGCACTGACCTGTGTGTGATTATGTTCCTCATGGTCATAGGAATGTCCCCAAATATTGAGACGCATGAACCCCTCCCCCCTCCCCTCTCCTGGCCCTAGGCTTCCTATTGCAATCCGCCGGCCACCTACAGGGCCAGTGGCTGTACAGCTGGCCCACCTTGCGGATTTTCCTTTGGGTCAATATTCTGCCCCTATCCCTAGGGAAAGCCAGAACCACCGCGGTATAAATTAGCGTTTTTATTTGAACACCTGAGCGAGCGCCTGCGGCTCGCCCCGTTTGGTATAAACATACAAAGTCCCTTTCGCACCGCACACCATGCCTTCGAGATAAATACAGCCCTAGGGGCTCCTGCTCCGGCAAAGCAACTCTTATTTACAGGAATAGATTACAAAAGTATTACAAAAAGTGGTCCTGAACAGGGGGTGGGAGTGGTTACCCTTCCATTTGTTACACCTGGGACAAGAGCGCAGCGCGCTGGTGGTGGGAAAGAGCTGATGTCCCCAGAGCTCGCGGAAGGAGAGGCCACTGCTGCATAAGGGACCCTGGCATCCGGGGGCCGGGCTTAGGTCTGCGCGGGTCCCACCTCCCATGGGGGAAAGGGGTGAGAACGAGGGAGGGCCTGGCCCCTCCAAGATCAGCTCTGGCCCACGGAGGAACACATAAGGGTCATCGCAGCGGGTCTCGGGGAAAGGCTGCTGCGTGGGAAAAAAGGACTGTGTCCTTACCCTGGGGTGCGGGAGGCGGTAACGCATCAGTTCTCCTGCCTCTCTTCCCTCGGGAGGGGTCGCTTTTAAAGCGCGGTTGGGGGCAGGGATTGGCACTTAAGCTCAATCTTTTGGGCGCGAGGGGACCCTAGGGGCACCACCCCTCGGCAGGTGGACAGCGGCGTCCTCTGACACGGCTATCCACGCCCTTAGAGCACCTGGTAGATCGGGTTGGGGTTCGCGGCCACGGGGCACTGCGGGGCAGCATCAGGGGTAGGGGTGGGGGCGCCGCGATCGCCCTCGTTGGCGGCGGCCGCCTCGTGCGAGTCCGGAGACGACTCCGGCTGCGCGTCTGCGAGCAGAAGCGCTGGCGCGGCGGGGCTCTCGGTGGAGATGCGCTCCACGATGCTGGACAGGCAGTCGAGGCTCGACACCGCAGCACTCTTCCCGCTCCTGGATTCTGCGCGGGGGGGGGGAGTAGGTTAGTACGCAGGGGTTGAGTCTCGAACAACCTCCCACTTTTGGTCCCCGTGCTTTGGGAGTGATGGGGAAGCTGAGGGCCAGCCATTGTCCTGCACGACCCAGCGAGCGTGCGGGGCGAAAAGAGAGAGCTACACGCTTAGTATTTCATTCCTTGTACTATCTTCCGGAATGTGTGGGGGTGGAGGTGGGGTGGGGGGAGAAATCTCTAGGTAAAGGGAAGTCAGGACAGCTCAAAGGGGGACGTGGGAAGGAGGCGCGAATACGCACCGCTGGGCGCCTCGCTGAAGTAGGTGCCATCGTAGCAGTTCCGCCGCCGGGCACCGCTCGGGGGGCCGCTGTAGTCCATCTGCAAAGGGCAAGAGCGACCGACTCAGGCGCGCGGGACCACGCGAGGCTGGAGCATCACTCTCTGCGTCCCCCTCCCCAACTCCCTCAGCCTCAGCTACGAGTTTCTCGCACTACTCCATGGAGTTGGGGTGGGGTAAGGGTGGGCAGGCGCTGTCTGTTGCATTTCAGGCCAAATAGAGGGCGGAGGACAAATCTTAATTTTGGAAATAGGGATAAGTGGGGGAAAAGCAGATCAGGGTGCTGCAGTGTTCTAATAGCGCTCCCAGTCGGGCCGATCGCATCTCTACCGTGCGCCCCGAAAACACTAGGCCACCCCAGTGACAGTTGCCCAGGACATAGGAGTTCACTCGAGTGAAGGGTCCCCGTCCAACCCTCCGCCCAGAGAGCAAGTTCTCCGCCCTCGGAAATGCTTCCCAGATAACCCCCCTCACCATCCCGACCCTCCTCCCCCCAGGCCAGAGCTGCCCCACTTCTCCTCTAGCCCCAGGTTCCAGCCTCACCATGCCGTCGGAGCAGTTGGAGCGCGGGCTGGACGCGTCTGAGTCTCCGCTGTAGTGCTCGCCGCCGCGGCCGGAGGGCAGCGAGCCAGGCGCGTAGAAGGCTGCTGAGGCGCCAGGGGGCGCGGCGTCCTGGTCGCGTAGCAGCGCCTGCAGGCCCTCGATGTAGCGGATGGCGTTGCGCAGAATCTCCACTTTGGGCAGCCGCTGGTTAGGATTGCTAGACGTGCAGCGCTTGAGCGTCTCGAAGGCCTCGTTGACTTTGCTCAGGCGGCGCCGTTCGCGCATGGTGGCGGCCTTGCGGCGGTCCGCGTTAGTGGTTTTGCGCTTGCACGCCTTACAGGCCCACAGTAGACAGCGACCCGCCTGGTGGTGCCCACTAGGCGCGCGCACATGCTCGTCCTCGCGCGCGCCCGGGGCCGGATGGACGGCAGCAGGGAAGTGCGAGTGTTCTTCTGGCTTCAGGAGTGCGCCCACGTGCACGAGGCGCGGGTCCAGGTCCTCGAAGAAGCGCAGGTCCGGGGAGTCGAAACACGGGTCATCGTAGAAGTCGTCCGCTGTGGCAAAGTTGCAGAGAGAGCCGTCGGGACCCGTCAAGTCTACGTCGCGTAGCGGCGGCGACAGCAGCTCCATATCCCGGCCGGGAGCGGAGCAGTCCTGGCTTTGCCCAACCCCAGCGGCAGGGGTTGCCCGAACTTTCAGCCGCTCTGGAGCCCTGGCCGTGTGACAGTAAAGTGCTGGGGGGTCTGAATATGTATCTGACCGCCCCCCACCGTGCCCGGCCCTGTCCGGCCTGACAGACCCCGGGGAAACTGGCGGCAGTGCCCTAGGGCTTCTCCACCCCTATCTTCAAGCCAGACGCCGGGGGCTATTTAACCGGTAGTAGCCTACAGGTCCCGGAGAGGGAGCGGGCTGCTGGGGGCGGGGGCGCCCGAGGCCAATAGGAACAGGGCAGGGAGGAGCTTGGGATCCCCAGGGTGGCCGCAGAGGCCACCCCCTACTTCTCCACACTCCGCGCGCGCTCTCTGTCTCCTCCCTAGGCAAGAAGGCAGAAGCTGGCAGCTCAACGCGGCCGCACTTGGCTCCCGGGCACATCTTTCCAAACCTCTCCAGCACAAGGCTTTTCCTGTGTCCACGGGAAACGCTGGCCGCCGGCGCTCACCTCCCAGCTGACTTTGGGCCCCTCTGCCCTCTGATTTGATGGGGTAGGACGCGGGGGAGGACTCAGAAGCAGGGTAGGGGTAGAAATCAGATCCGGCAGAGACACACATAAGACTGAGATAGTGAGATGGTGAGAGGTAAACCAAGAAGGAGGCTGAGGGATGTTCAGAGAGCAGAAAGCTAGTCAGAGGCAGGGGAACGCTCAATGAGAGATAGACTCCAAGAATCTAAGTGGGTAAACCAGAAACAAGCTGGGCGTGGTGGCCTTGTTATTAGGCCACTTCCTGCTCATCTTCCCATTGCTGTTGAAGCTTCCCGCCAATCTCACCAAACTCAGCCCCTGCCCCCCTGCTTGGAGGGAGGGAAGCGAACTCCTGGCCATTTCAACCCGCGCCTTGCGTTTCGGCAGCCTGGTATCCAATGCCGCTCCAGAAGGAGATACCTCTTCAGCTGGGAAGAAAGCTCCATCTGCTCACGTCTTGCCTCCCGCTCCGGCGCAGTGTTGCGCCAGAAGAGTGCATTGCGCAAAGGCCTTGAGCGCCCAGACTTCTCCTGAGAACCCCACATCCTGAGAATGAAGTTTGCCCACCGATGACCTGAGTTCCAGTCCAAACTCCACAGTTCCCTGTGTGATTTTGTGGAAGTCAAGCCATCTGAGCCTGTTTCCCACTTTGTAAATTCGGGGATAATAATAGTGATCTCTTGGAGTGGATTGTAGTGACAGCGGTAACAACCTAGAGACAAAGGATGTGGAAACCTTCAGCCTCAGGTGCAAGGCTGTATTAACAAGAGGGCTTGCTTCTGTCCCAGGCATCTGGTGGACTGTGCGCGCGCTCCCTGTGGGCTTTCTAGCTGTTGGCTGGGGCACTGGGCCCGGTAGGGGCCCGTGTAGTCTCAAGGCTCAGCTCCCACAGAGGCTACATTTCTTCCTGGCAGGCCCATTGCAGAAACAGGGGATAGGAGGCAACCACCCCATGGAATCCCTGGCTCCCGCACAAGCCCTGGGGTACCCTTACCTCCATAGGGCCTCTCAGACTCTTCCTTAATCTGCAGTCCACACCTTCCTCTCAGCACTCTGGCAAGGGGTTTCGCTTGGACCAGATATTCCCTTGGGTCTCTTCTCCTGGAGCCCAGAGTTTAAGAAAGAGTGGCTTTTGTGCCTCTCTCACTAACTTCTGGAAGCTGTTCTAACTGGTTCTCTGGATACTGGGAAGCCCTTTCTTCCCACCAAACCTAAAGAGTTCTTTTGGCACCCTGCCTTCTTCACTTGTAGCAGTGCAGAAGGTCCCCCTCATGAAGTGCTCACCTCCCTTCACTACATAACACCAGGTTCATGTATTCATTCAACACACGTTATGGAGCATCTATTATGTGCCAGGTACTGGTCCAGGTGTTGGGGATAAGGCATTGAACACAACCAAAACCTCGCTTTCATGGTGATGACGTTTCAGGGCAGAGTGACAGACAATAAAAACAAACAGTTAAGCATATGGTGTCAGGAGGTTATACGTTCTATGAAGAAAAATAAAACAAGGCAAGGGAACAAAGTGATGAAGACTATCTCATTTTATGGAATGGTCAGGGAAGGCCTCACTGGGATGATTACTTTTGAAGAGAGAGCTGAATGAAGAGCAGGAGGCAGAATTAGACATCTGGAGCCAAACAGGGTGGGGGTGGGGGAAACATGTGCAAAGGCCCTGGGGCAGGATTGTGTTCGGCAGACTTAAAGTACAGCAAGGAGGTTGGTATGTCCAGAGAAAGGTAAGCAAGTGGAAGAGAGGTGGAAGATGGGATCAGACAGAGAGCAAAGAATGGTATTCTGGAATGCCACTGCAAGCCTTGAGCAGAAGAGAAAAAATTCAAAGCCTGACTTACATTTTAACGGGGCATATTGGTTATAGAGAACAAGGGCAGAAGCAGGGAGGCCAACTGGAGGCTATTGCAATATTCAAAGTAATAATAATGGTGACTTAGATATGGGTGGCAGCTGCACAGATGGTGAGGGTGGTTGAATTCCAGATATATTTTGTAGGGGGAGCCAGCGAGATTTATTCATAATTGGATGTGCGCCGTGAGATGAGGGCAGTTAAGGATGACTCCTGGGAGACTGAGGTTGGGAAGAGCAGGTTTATGGGTGGCAGATCAAGACTCCGAGTTTGGGCAAAATTTGAACTGCATATTCAATATCCAGGTGGAGATGCCAAGCAGGCAGGGAGACTGATGAGGCCGGAGTTCCAGAGGGGAGATCTGTGCATGTGGAAGACCTGTCCACTTGACCTCTAAGACATCTCTCAAGTCTCTCCATCTCCAGTGTCACCATGCTGTACTAAGCTGCCGCACTGCTGGCGTGGACGACCCCGACAGCCTCCTGGCTGCTCTTGCTTCCACTCTTGTCCCAGTGTATTCATTCACTGCACAGCAGCCGGAGTAATCCCTTAAAAACATAAAAGGAATTATATCTCCCTTCTGCTTCAACCCCTCCAACAGCTTCTCATTGCACTTAGTATAAAATCCTGTCTCCTCACCCTGGTCTACAAGGGTCCGCCTGCGCTGCCCTCAGCCCATCTCTGCAATTTCCCCTGAACTACTCTTCCCTTTAATCACGCCATTGTAGCCTGGCCACCTTTCCTGCTTTCCAACACTCTGAGCACCGTCCTCCTCAGGGCCCTGTGCTTGCTGATTATAGCACCCTCCTCTGGGCTCTTCCCAAGACTGGCTGTTTTTCATATATCAGGTCTCAGCTCAAATGCTGACTCCTTGGAACATCTCTGACCATCCTAAGGTAGCTGGGTCACATCAACCTGCTCATTTCCTTCTTAGCATAGCCACTCCTTACATATCTCCTTTATTAGTTTTGTTCATTGTTGGCTGTAGCTCCATGAAGGCAGGGGCATTCTGTTCATCATGGCATTTCCAGAAACCAGCACAATGGCTGTCACATAGTGGGAACTACCAAATGGATGAAGGAATGGGTGGCCCTTCGAATCTCTATGTGTATATTTGAACTTCTTGACGTGTGTCATTGATGAAAATGGTTTTATTTCTTCTAGACTGGACAGTTGCACACACAATTAGACACACATGCTCGGTCACACTTGCTCTTTCCAGGCAAGACTCAGGCCCATCAGCAAGGGGCGTGTTCCTTCATGTGGAGCAATTACACTTGACTTGCTGTAAAATCACAACACAAAAGTATACCAAAGAGAGATTTGATTTATTATAAGCCCGAGTCTTCATTTGACTAACACAATGAGGAATATGAGTAATTATTACGTTAGTGACTTAGACTGAAACAAATATTTTTTCCTACTTGTTCAGGCCTCAGCAGAATACCTGGCACATAGCAGGCACTCAGTAAATATTTGTTAGAAGAATGAATGAATCAATCAATCCATGCATTTTACTGAAGAGTATCCTGAGACTTCAAGGTGAGCTCTGCAAACCATATATCCATCTAAATGTAGACTTTTCTCAAACCTGGGAGAAGAAAACACAAAAGTAAATTGGAGGCCGAGACTTAAATGATTATAACTTAGTTTTTTGTGTTTTGCTCTTATCAAGGTGCCTCTACAATAAATAAATGTTATGTTTGAACTTACCAAACACATTGAATATTTTACCACTTGTGGCTTAGAAATCTTAACTGCTTTGATAGTTTTATATTTGACTTGTAGCTTTACCTTCTTCAGTGATTAGGAAGCACTTTTTAAAAATGCACACACACCGTAGTGGTACATGCCACTTTTATGTTAGACTTCCACGGGGGCTTTCGTTTGCTACAAAGCTTCTGCTGCTTGACGAGTTCGGGAATCCCTGGACTCGGTGACCATTACAGACCTCTTCAGGACTGGGACCTGTGCCTGCCCAAGTTGTGCTACCACATCCCTGGGGAAAGGTGCCAACACCATCATCTCATCCATGTTGCTGAAAGAGCTGGGAGAAGTATGTCCACCCTAAGACCTGGTGCCTTTTAGTCCTGGTGCTGGGTTGGGGGCAGGGAGGAAAAGGACATTAAGTTTGGAAGCTGGAAGAGTCCAGACCTTTATATTGCAGCGTCTAGTCAAGGGTGTTCCTCTGGACTTGTTCTGGGAAAGCTCCATGACAAAGGGCTGAGGGTCCTATGGAGGGGCCACGCCCCGGCATCTCTTTCTCCAAATCAAGGCTGAGCAGACTGGTGGGCTATGTGATCTGGGCCAAGGGCGCACCTCACCCCAGGCCTTGGTTCTCCAGTCTCCACAATAACGAGCTCCTGTGGCAGCAGGTGGGGAGGAAGGGCTCCCTGGCCTCTTCTTCCTCCACCCTTCCTAGTCCCCCCTCCTCAGCTCCCTTGGCCTGCCTGCCTGGGGCTATAAATGGAGAGCCAGCCTCTGGACAGGAATGCAGAGCGTTCCAGGCTGGGCCCCACAGTGTTGCACCCTCAGGGAGTGGCCGGCCCCAGGGCTCCCGGCAGCTTTTATATATATATATAGCCTCTGGAAACCCAATCCAGCCCGCACCTGTCCCGGTCTTCAAGCACCCTGCCCCTGCCCAGGCTGGACGTGTGGCCTCTCCCCCCGGCTTGGCACAGGCTGCATATCTGGCCTGGGATAGGGGGTGTCACAGGGCCAGAGGGCCAGGTGGGGCAGGGCCAGCCTCAGGTCCCCTCTGGGTCCCCAGGCTTCCCCTTCTTGTTCCTGGA